CACTGGACTATATTGAAATGGGACCACACGGGAAGCGTAAACTTTTTAATAAAAAAAGAATCATCAAAATCCATTCGCCCAGTCAAAAGTTATGAGGTAACAAACACAAAAAAAAAACATATAGTTGAATTGAGACCTTCCTCCTTTTTTGAAGTCTATTAAAAACTAGAAGAAAGTGATTATTTTCAAATATTGTAAAGTGTTTAAAAGAATTACAGAGTAAATCTCCGAGACTGCTATTCGCATATTTAAAATAAGAAAAAAAAACACACACCCAAATTAACAACAGGAAGTTAATTCAGTTTGTAATAATAAAGTCGTAATGACGTTGTCAGAGTTTGATTTAATTGGGCTTCAGATAATGTTATTCATCTAAATACATATCGTAAAAGGCTATTTTGATTAAGCGAGATTTTTGCAACTTTGCAGAAGAGTCATATAAAGTTAAAATATTGGAAAAGATATCAAAAATAGAAAATAAATATTCTTCAGCCATTTGAATGGAGAAAACATAATTGAAGTTCAATTAAAAACATCGAACTGTTGATGCTAATCTTCTATCTTCTATATATATATAAATGAATTGCCGTTCATTAGTCTCGCTAAAACTCGAGAACGGCTGGACCGATTTGGCTAATTTTGGTCTTGAGTTATTTGTGGAAGTCCAGAGAAGGTTTAAAAGGTAGATAAATATGAAAATTCGGATTCCTTTTGTTTGTTTTAAGTTTATTTTATACAAATGTTTAGGTCTTTTATTTATCGATTGAGGTACTACGAAGTCTGCCGGGTCAACTAGTCTATCTATCTACCTATCTGTATATATAAAAATGAATTGCTGTTCGTTAGTCTCGCTAAAACTCGAGAACGGCTGGACCGATTTGGCTAATTTTGGTCTTGAATTATTTGCGGAAGTCCAGAGAAGGTTTAAAAGGTAGATAAGTATGAAAATGCTCGGAATTAAATAAAAATAACAATTTTGTCTTTCCTTTGATGTTTCCCCCGTCGGACGGATTCCTTTTGTTTTAAGTTTATTTTATACAAATGTTTAGGTCTTTTATTTATCGATTGAGGCACTACGAAGTCTACCGGGTCGGCTAGTACCAAATAAAACGCACCTTTAAATACAAAGCTAAATGTAGAGTGTTAAGCGAAATCTCGCTTAAACCAAATAGCTTTTCACCCCTCGATATTATTTACATAGATGCGCACACGATCGCACAGCCCGTGTTATTTCTAACGGTCGCCGCTGTGATACCATATCGCGACAACCGTTGTCCATATTAAGACATGAAACTCTTGTTACACATTGACTCCGTGATAATGTCTTATTAGATAGTTATGTTACGCAGGAAATTACGCTTCGTCTCGCGATTTTCTTACTTAAAATCTCATTAACCTAATCGGAGAACTTACTTTTAAATTAGATTTCATTCTATCGTTTTGTGAATTATCAAAATATTATAGCCACTTTAAAAATTTCTCTTCACAAAAAAAATACGTTCGGACTAATACGAACATTAAAAACAAATCGAAGGCAGCGGCTCTCAAATTATGATCTTAAAAATCGTATAAATTTTATTCGCGTATAATTCGATGAAGTAGCTATAGCGATTAAAGTGTATATTAATGATATCGCACGTTATGTCCTGACCTCGTGGCGCAGACCTCTGACCGAAGCGACTTGCGTTATTCAACCACCACGGAATGCTTATCAACCGTTTGTTCGAGTCGAACAATAAATACTGTTGAATATTAATATATTAAACTTAACAATGAGGGTTGGGAGTCAGCGCGGATACGTTAGGACAACTTTTCTTCGTATTTCTAGCGTAACACTCATGCTGCCCATCTTATACTATAACGAATACTAGCTGGCCCGGCAAACTTTGTTTTGCCATATAATTTATTCCTAGGAAAGATAAATAATCTAAATACCGACAGCAGCGTCATCTGCCGGGCTGATTTGTGAATCTAAACCATCCAGGGTGCCACACAAACGCATACAAAAAAAAACATTCAAATCGGTCCAGCCGTTTAGGAGGAGTTCAGTGACAAACACACGCACAGAAGAAATATATATATAAAAATTATGATATCGAATGTGAAAGGTTATTTAGTTTAAGCGACATTTCGCTTAACACGCGACATTTATCTTTGTAATTAAAGATGCGTTTTATTTGGTACTAGCTGACCCGGTAAACGTTGTTTTGCCATATATAGAAATTCTAGGGAATTTCTAGTGTAGAAAAAAAAAAATCTTATTGTAAGTGTGTAAGGATTAACAAATAAAAAATAAGGGTTGATCGTAGAGGGGTGAAAATTTAGGGTTGTATGTATTTTTGTATGCTGTATCATAAAAAAAAACAATAATTTCGTCTAAAAAAAAAAATTTAGTTTTGGACCACCCTTAACATTTAGAGGGATGAAAAATAGATGTTTTCCGATTCTCCACCCTGGCCAATATGCACGCTAAGATTCACGAAAATCGGTCGAGCCGTTTCGGAGGAGTTCAATCACGCACACCGTGACACGAAAATTTTATATATTAGATTAGCATCAACAGTTCGATTTTTTTAATTGAACCTCAATTAAGTTTAGTCCATTTAAATAGCTGAAATGAAATTGTCAATGATTATTTAAAACAAAAATTGTAGTCTCTCTCTTTTTAAGCCTTTGTGGTCCTAAGACTAACGTAAGACGAAACTATTTTATATGTATAACACGTGTGGATTCAGGACTTCAAAGGGTTAAAGTAAATAGATGAACAAAGGAATTATTTAATTTATTTTTCGTCCATACAAAGTCATCGAACGGCATTGTCATCAAACAAACATTTCGTCTTTAACTCGTTTCGTACTAAATAAATGTTTGTCACGAAAATTTTGTTTTCTAAGACAATGTTGCGTTTGTTTTACCTTATTTGAAGTTTTTTTTTAAATTAGAATATATCGACGCTTGAAAGGCAAACGTGACTAAGCGACAGTAACTGCTTTGTACATAAATGATAGGCAATAACCATATTCGATGCGCAAAAAATACATATTTCTTTTAGGTCTATTAAAATCATTTCAATCCTACAGCTAGATTCGTTAAAATATATTTTTTTTTTCAGGTATTTCAACTTTAATTTAGTCTACTGTAAAGTTCACGCATTGTCGCTTAGTCACGTTTGCCTTTCAAGCGTCGATATACATATTTTTTTTTATTGCCTCAGTAGGCAGAGGGGCGTACGGCCCACCTGATGGGGAGTGGTTACCGCCGCCCATGGACATCAGCAATGCCAGGGGCACAGTCAAGACGCTGCCTACGGTTTTTTACCTATCGTATTTTTCTGTAGTCTTCCTTTAGGTTACGGAGGGGAATATTTCGAGTAGTCGTGCTTTTTAAAATGCTGAGGGGTTTTTACTTAAACAGAGGAGAATAATTATATGCCATGCTAATCATAAGTGCTCATTGCGAACTCGTAAATTAAAGCAGAGATATACAGAAAACGCTGGCCCAAGAGCGTGTCGCAATGTCGTTGTAAAGCAGCAATGCGTTTCGGTTTGAAGGGTGGGGCAGCCGTTGTAACTATACTTGAGAACTTAGAACTTATATCTCAAGGTGGGTGGCGCATTTACGTTGTCGATGTCTATGGGCTCCAGTAACCACTTAACACCTGGTGGGCTGTGAGCTCGTCCACCCATCTAAGCAATAAAAAAAAGACCTGGGCCGACATTCAATTCTATTACATAGCGCTCGAGTTTTTGTTATTTTTTACTGCGTAGGTGGATGTAAAACCTGATAATCCACCTGGTGTACAGTAGTGCGGTAGATTTGCTTCGAGAATGTCAAAATCTCAAATATATCTCAATAACCAGAACGCGTGCTTCCAAAGCACCACTAGTAAATGCCTATTGGCGATCGAAATACACTGGTATCATACTTAGAGGCTTGCCCTGAGGAGTTGAAGAAAATATGTCAAGCGTTACTCCTCCTCGCGTCGTTTTCGTCATTACTGAGGGTCGTGACTCCCCCGCTGCATCAGTTTCTCCCGTACGATTTCCTTCCATCTGCTGCGATACTTAGCTTCATGAAGGGCATTGTGGAATTTGATGTTTAGAGAAGAAGCTTCATGAAGGGCATTGTGAAATTTGATGTTTAGAGAAGATCGTATTTGGTCCGACCATCTCGTAGGACTGCGTCCTCTGGGACGTTTACCATCTACCTTTCCTGTCACCATCAGCTGTTCAAGATTGTGACCCTCTTTACGAGCAATATGCCCGAAGAATGCTGGTATTGGGCTTGAACGAAGGTGTCTTATTTTTTCAAAAAGTCACTATAGCTAGATGGGCTTATATAGTCCCACAACACCGTACGAGAAATAAAAATTATTTCATTTCACCCGAGTATAGATGGGAGCGTTTCTGAGTACTATAATCAGCACATTGCCACGGTTATACAGCGTTCACTGGTGATATATTTCTTTGTTTTTTTTCCTATCTATGCTGATAGTCTCGAGAGGCTATATCAGCTTCTCCTTGACGTGTAGGTGAGCTCACGGGGCTCAAACCGGCTGTGTTGCTAACACTGGCCCTAGCAAGAGCAGTGCTTCCCAGAATTTACCACCGGATCGGAAACGAGACCCACTGAGAAGATCCGGCGAGAAACTCAGTGGGCTGTGTCTATGGGTACTGGTGATAGGGGGCATAGTGAGCGCATGCGCATAGGCTTCAGTGCCGTGTATCAAACACACCTTTTTAGTTGAAGAGATGGATAGCCGTTATACATATTTCAACTTTGACCTACAGTCTTAAGAATGTTGAGACACTTGATGTTAATGAGATTCGGTATCTACTCAATACCAGATGGGACGTGGACTAATGTACGTTACTAGCGCAATAAAAATACGGTAGTCATATTTAAAAAAAAACAGATATTTTTTTAAAGCGCGCCGCAATGACCGCAGGGCATAATAACATTGATTCAACTACATTGTGTATTTTTCTTTTGTCGTACAGGTGTTTCACCTTCGCAACATCCGCTGGGAGAGTCCAAGGTTCCTGTCCAAGTCGTTCCTGGCCTTCGTTACCTTCAACCTCATCAACTACTCGTTGTTGGCAGCCGAGGTCCTTACAACGAATATCGCTGATACTTCTGCCGAGAAGAGGGTACGTATCTCTTGAATTATTGGGATGTTGATAAACTTTTTTAAGGGTTATCAGCAAGTGACCTTAGTGTAGCCGCACCGACCTATTTCCTGTTGTTTTCACACATTTTGCATGTACTCGCCGCACACTGTAGACGCCGGTGGTCGCCACACGTCACAAATCGCCACTGCTCGCCTCTAGTGGTCGGCTCGGCCACAAAACGCCGACACAAGCCACCCGCGCGACTCTCCACCCCTCTCTCCCTTCATTTCTTCGTCGGAGTCCATTATGATATGAAGTATCCAACATGAAACACAAGTGGCTGTCGCGCGCGTCAGCTTCTTTTGTAGCCGCTTCTAGCTTCAAGTGGCGGTGATTGTGGATATGGCCAGTGGCCCGTGTGCGGCGACCCTTATGGTTCGACTGGTGCAGTCATCAGATATAGACAGTGATACCAGCCGGATAATCTTGCAACTCAGGCCTCATCGACATTACAAAGTAAATGCTGCCACGGCCATATTAGAGTCTCAATTGTATTGTATAACGAATGTCCTAAACTTCCAGTAACAGGCAGGACAATGGTACCTATCCTTGCGTAGCTGCTAGTACCGGTGGTATTTTAAGCCATTACCCATTACCGTAGTTACCGGTACTGGCAACTTATCTGTAGTACCAAGAACAGTACCTCAGTTACTTCTCTTCTCTCTCTCTTCATATATGATTTTTGAAGGATCGTTGTCTTCACAATCGTGACATTAATAAGTTGCGGGCACTTGTAGATCTTACAGATAAGGGTTGCAATGTTATTTATAAACACAATTGTATTATACAATGACAATAGTTATTATAACAATGAGCAGTTTGTATGTTTTTAGTGCTTACCAAGTTACAAAGTAACGTATCTATTTCCACGAAGATGTTGTATTTTTCTTTGTATGTGTTTTTTTTTGATGAATCGAGTCTTTACACGTGGTATAAAAATAACATTAACTTTTCGATTTATTTTGTAAAATATGTTTACATCAGTGAATATTTAGGGTTAAATTAACTTCGCACTTTTATGTATTTTTAGTTCTTATATAGATACGTCGTACATAGATCCTAGATAGGCTAGAGTACTAAGTTTTCGTTAATTTTGTAAATAGAAATGAAACTTTGTGAAATTAGCTCTGGGCATTTACTGGTGGTAGGACATCTCGAGTCCGCGCGGGTAGGTACCACCACCCCGCCTATTTCTGCCGTGAAGCAGTAATGCGTTTCGGTTTGAGGGGTCGGGCAGCCGTTGTAACTATGCTGAGAGCTTAGAACTTATATCTCAAGGTGGGTGGCGCATTTACGTCGTAGTTGTCTATAGGCTCCAGTAACCACTTAACACCAGGTTGGCTGAGCTCGTCCAACCATCAACGCAATAAATAAAAAATTAAAAAAATTGCTCCGGGTGTCATGACAGTGCCGACCGGCTTCAAAATATTCCTCGCACACGAATAATAGAGGAGTCTGTTGCGATGCACACTTGTGGTTTGCGGTCTGTCGGCGATTTCGAAATTGTACCAATAAACTTAGATTATATCGTTAGATTATTCTTAGACCCGAGTATATCAATGATAATCTTTTGCTAATCGTAAGGGCATAGGATTTGTTATACGAACCAATCATTCGTGGTGAATCCATCATCCTAAGTGCATCAGCCTTTGTACCAATATGATTGAAACTTCGATGCTGTTTCTACGTCTCAAGATGGTATCAGTGTGTTACGGTAATTCCTAACACCAGATCGCTGAATCTTAATTGAAATAAATGAAAGCACGACCGACGAAAATTATTAGAAATATCCAAATGCTGTATCTGGTTCCATTTCATTCCATTCCTTTCTTATTTTGTCGTGACAACGTCTTATAATTCGATGTAGCCGGCTGCACGCACGAAAAAACATGACTCATTGAGGCGTTCCATTTAAGGCTTGAAGTGCAAGTGAGAGCGCGCAACGAGCGACAAAGAGGCACAATCGGCCTCCGCGTTCGGCAGCGTTCGACATCTGTCTCTCTCCTACTTGAGTGAGCGATGTACCCGCGTGGACAGCTGCTATACAATAATACATTGACATGTTTTCGTCAAGTATGAAGTTCAGTGAAAAGTGAATGTGGTGTCAATTGTTTATAGCNTTTAAGGCTTGAAGTGCAAGTGAGAGCGCGCAACGAGCGACAAAGAGGCACAATCGGCCTCCGCGTTCGGCAGCGTTCGACATCTGTCTCTCTCCTACTTGAGTGAGCGATGTACCCGCGTGGACAGCTGCTATACAATAATACATTGACATGTTTTCGTCAAGTATGAAGTTCAGTGAAAAGTGAATGTGGTGTCAATTGTTTATAGCAACGATAATTGCGATAATTGAAAAATGAAACCATTCCATCAGTATTTTCTTATGACGTTGTCACGTTCAACTATCGTCAGTAAACTGACTATACAGGCAACCGATTTTTTAGTTATACTTAAATTCACTGCGGATACATAATATATTCACATCACCAGTTTTTTTTTTTAAATTATAGTTTATCCAAATGTAAATTCATCGACCTTCTGGTAACGTGTATTTCATCTCTTCACAACACGTGTTCAAACCACGCACACGTCCCACCTCTAATTTTGGCACTCATGGAGTCGATTTTGACACTTCTTCTAATATACTCTTCACTGAATGTATTCGCCTAACATTACTTTTTACTGGTGGTAGGACCTCTTGTGAGTCCGCACGGGTAGGTACCACCACCCCGCCTATTTCTGCCGTGAAGCAGTAATGCGTTTCGGTTTGAAGGGGTGGGGCAGCCGTTGTAACTATACTGAGACCTTAGAATTCATATCTCAAGGTGGTTGGCGCATTTACGTTGTAGATGTCTATCGGCTCCAGTAACCACTTAAAACCAGGTGGGCTGTGAGCTCGTCCACACATTTAGGCAATAAAACAAAAAACATTAATCTTTAGGTACAATCTTATCTGCGAAAAGTGGAAAATATTCAGTTGTGTGCACCAAATATATAGCAACACTAGTTGATATTGTAGCCCAAATAGAGATCACCGGCGGTCACAGATTACCTTATCGCAATGACCATACAAAGACTCCAAAATTCTTATCATTTAAGTAAAGTAAACATTAAGGAATATTGTTTTGAGCAACTTTATACTTTGTCTGGGTGTATACATTTCACGTCGATGAGAGTAAAGTGGCAAGTGGAATTATACAAAATATTTTCTTATCCAAATACAGGGTATATCAAGCCACAGGGTTTTTTTTTATTGCCCTTGTAGGCAGACGAGCATACGGCCCACCTGATGGTGAGTGGTTATCGTCGTCCATGGACTTCAGCAATGCCAGGGGCAGAGCCAAGCCGCTGCCTACCGAAATTAAGGGTATCTATATCAAGCCAAAAGCTGTAGATAATGTTCTGTTAGAATAGTCGTTTAGGGATAAAGAGTACTTGAACACAACGAACAAAGAATTCTTCTGCGAACTTTCGAATTATGTTTTACGCAAGGTGCTGTAATCTTCTATCTTCTTCTTCTATATATATATATATATAAAAATGAATTGCTGCTCGTTGGTCTCGCTAAAACTGGGGAACGGCTGGACCGATTTGGCTAATTTTGGTCTTGAATTATTTGTGGAAGTCCAGAGAAGGTTTAAAAGGTAGATAAATATGAAAATGCTCAGAATTAAATAAAAATAACAATTTTGTTTTTCCTTTGATGTGTCCCCCGTCGAACGGATTCATTTTTTTTGTTTTAAATTTATTTTATACAAAAGTATAGGTCTTTTATTTATCGATTGAGGCACTACAAAGTCTGCCGGGTCAGTTAGTATGCAATAAAAAATAAGACTGGCCACATATCAAAAGATTTGTATCGGAAGTAAACTTATGAATATTGGTCGTTAGAACTGATTGCGCACTTAGAGTACGTTTTTCTCCGCCAAATAAGCCCTGTACCTGTGATATCATCACCCTCTTTGGCGTGCTATCAACAATCTTTGTCTCCTAGGTCGAGGTCACTTGAGTAATCTTGAATAACTTTTATCTCACAAAGGTGAATCATAAGCCAATGCAATGCACGAAAAAGGAAAACACTAATAAAAAAAATATTTTTATTGCTTAGATGGGTGGACTAGCTCACAGCCCACCTGATGTTAAGTGGTTACAGGAGCCCATAGGCATCTACAACGTAAATGCGCCACCCACCTTGAAGTATAAATTTCCAGGTCTCAGTAAAGTTACAACGGCTGCCCCACCCTTCAAACCGAAACGCATTACTGCTTCACGGCAGAAATAGGCGGGGTGGTGGCATCTACCCATGCGGACTCACAAGAGGTCCTACCACCTCTAACTACCTATGGCGTTGTGCTTTTCGAGCGTTCTCGATGTTACTAGTACCTTCGATATTGGTTTCTGCTATTCGGCGATAGATAGCGGTAGGCAGCGGCTTGGCTCTGCCCTTGGCATTGCTGAAGTCCATGGGCGACGGTAACCACTCACCATCAGGTGGGCCGTATGCTCGTCTGCCAACAAAGGCAATAAAAAAAAAAGATGGTGTTACTCTTACCGGTGTAACAGTAATATTTATAGCAATTATTTGTTAAAGATTAAATCCTCTATGCATTCATGAATTCCACTCGGGTACCGATAATTTCTGTAGGATTTCTGGATACTTTATCGCAATAACTTTGTCGTTCAAATGTCTTTATGTTCTAAATACGCCAATACTATTATGCCATATATGCAACTTAATTCCATTAACAGTAGTTAATGGATGAACATGTCACACATTCATAAATGTTGTTTACTTGACGATATAAGCGAATAACTTAGTACCGAATGCTAATTAATGTACTGGACACAAATGTTGCATCCGTATAACCTAATTATTGATTTGAGAAATTCTTGTATACCGATGTAATAATATTATGGTCGAAGTTACGATCGAACTGTTCACCAACGGTTAATTGACATCGGCAATATCAAGAGCGTTTATTGTAAATTCGCTAAGTCTTGCTTAGCGTGCCCTCCCGCGTCTCCCTCTTCTCCCTCTCCCCTGAGGCGGAGAAGAGGGAGATGTTATAGTGCATAGGAGAGGGGAAGTTCATTCGAGAGTTTTATCGGAGGTGGCAGAAATTACCTCTGGAAACGAATTATGCATGTGCAGTGATGTATTCTTATGAAGTTTTGAAAAGTGCCCTTTTGCCACGTCTCATTAACCTACTGAATTTTCTAAGTGCTATGATACATTCATCTTTGGGCAACAACTTGGCCCTGGTATTTCTGAATTACATGAGACGACGACGATAATACACCGTGAGGTGGCCCGTGAACTAGTCTGCCCATAATATCAATAAAAAAATATACGCGGACCACGGAATTATATCATCAGGTTCTGTTAAGTGAATATTTCCAGTAAAAGCGACCAGCACAATGGCATTGAGTTATTTTTGTACTAGGGTAAAGTTGATTTATTATCCCCCAGCTTGGAATAATGCAAGGAGGGGTCCATCTTTTGCTTAGTGGTTGAACCCCTCACCGTGAGACAGAAAGTCTCCGTGATATTGATACAGCGTCTTTCTTACTCGCGAATCGGAAGCACACTCGTTTCGTTGTAGATATAGGAAGAATATTGGCACCTACCCGTGAGGGCTATGCCGAAATGAGGGCCTAACAACAAAGCCTCATCGAAGAAATTAAACAAATATATGTATACAGATAACCCTCCTGTAACGCGGTAGATACGTTCCTACAAAGTCGCGTGTTGTGCGAAACCGTGTTATATGAGACTAATAAAGCCAATACAAAAAGAAAAGTAATTTTTCTTAAAGAATCAACTATGCCTGTATGTATTTCATCTATTAAACATAAAAAAGAAGTGCTAAAATTTTGGTCATTCCCATATATTGTGCGTTCATAGTGCATAATGTAATTTTCTAAATAATTTAAACAAAAAATCTCGTTATCGTGTTGTAGAAGTGACGTGTTATAAAAAGGTTTTGGGGAATTTTTCATCTGCATGTTACAGTGAAACCGTGCTTTAAAACACCTTGTTAAAAGAGGTTTACCTGTAATTAGATTAATTCAACATTGAAAAACGTGATTGCAATGTCTGCACTTTGAGTGTGTCGAATTAGGTATATCTGTAAATAAAATTTAAGACAAGAACAATGGGTCGGTGCACGTGAGCTCGTCGAAGTATTTGATATCTGTAATTGTTTAGTGGATTATGATCCTTAACGGACGGGATCAACACACCGTTTAAATACAGTAATTATGTTTTAATACAGCGTCTGATTCATACTATGGATGTTTGCTGATTGGCTGTTACTGGAAACGCTTTTAANCTAACAACAAAGCCTCATCGAAGAAATTAAACAAATATATGTATACAGATAACCCTCCTGTAACGCGGTAGATACGTTCCTACAAAGTCGCGTGTTGTGCGAAACCGTGTTATATGAGACTAATAAAGCCAATACAAAAAGAAAAGTAATTTTTCTTAAAGAATCAACTATGCCTGTATGTATTTCATCTATTAAACATAAAAAAGAAGTGCTAAAATTTTGGTCATTCCCATATATTGTGCGTTCATAGTGCATAATGTAATTTTCTAAATAATTTAAACAAAAAATCTCGTTATCGTGTTGTAGAAGTGACGTGTTATAAAAAGGTTTTGGGGAATTTTTCATCTGCATGTTACAGTGAAACCGTGCTTTAAAACACCTTGTTAAAAGAGGTTTACCTGTAATTAGATTAATTCAACATTGAAAAACGTGATTGCAATGTCTGCACTTTGAGTGTGTCGAATTAGGTATATCTGTAAATAAAATTTAAGACAAGAACAATGGGTCGGTGCACGTGAGCTCGTCGAAGTATTTGATATCTGTAATTGTTTAGTGGATTATGATCCTTAACGGACGGGATCAACACACCGTTTAAATACAGTAATTATGTTTTAATACAGCGTCTGATTCATACTATGGATGTTTGCTGATTGGCTGTTACTGGAAACGCTTTTAAGAAATTAATAACTACTAGTGGTCCCCGCAGTAGTCGAAATTCGACTATAATTAATTGAAATTATAAGTTTGAACATTCTTATTGGTTTTAATGTCAAACACTATTATACACTTCTATAATCACAAATTTCGCCAAGACTGCACCATAGATTATACACTTAATATTTGAGAGACTGCACTATAGACAAATAATATAAAAGACAAACAATTTGACCACAGACTTTAAACACTAACAAAAGTTTCACAATTGACAATTTACAAAGAGTATATTTATACGTATGTGTTGTGTCAAATACACGGTAGTGTGTGTAACGTTTTCTTTATTGATTTAATGTATCTTTTATGCATTATTTAAAAAAAATATCAGCATTGTCCACTTTATCTCTGTATTCTCTATAAGTGTGGAAAATTTCATACTCCTCCGTCCGCGCAATTTTCGTAAAAAGGGATACAAAGTTTTTGCTTCACGTATTAATATATAGATATCTGGTGTTTTTTATAAGAAGCCGTCATACGAATCTGTTTGTATCATATTTTTATTGGGATAATATGATGGAATTTTAATTTAAAGTATTTTGCACATATGAAAATCTTGATGATGAAATTCAGAACAGTCGATGGAAAGCTAATTTGCTTAAGTCAGCTGTAGGGATCTATATTCGGAATTCATCAGCGAAGGAATAACATCGTGTAATAAAAATCAAACACGCAAAATTATAATTTGCGTAAATACTGGTGGTAGGACCTCTTGTGAGTCCGCACGGGTAGGTACCACCACCCTGCCTATTTCCGCCGTGAAGCAGTAATGCGTTTCGGTTCGAAGGGTGGGGTAGCCGTTGTAACTATACTGAGATCTTAGAACTTTTATCTCAAGATGGGTGGCGCATTTACGTTATAAATGGGTTATGGGCTCCAGTAACCGCTTAACATCAGGTGGTCTGTGAGCTCGTCCACCCATCTAAGCAATAAAAAAAATATAAACCATCTGCAGAAGACGTGAAACTACGGCGGAAGGGAGTTCACGTCAGAGTCGGATGGTGCGTTGCAAGTATGAATTGTGGAAACTCACATTGGGGCTACTAATCAAGAAAATACGGGATTATTTCAAACAATTCCTCAAAGCACGTGCTCAGTGTTTGTCTAAATAATATTGTTTACTAGCTGACCCGAAGTGTCAGTCGATAAATAAAAGACCTAAACCTTTGTATAAAATAAACTTATAACAAACAAAAGGAATCCGTCCGACGGGGGACACATCAAAGGAAAAACAAAATTGTTATTTTTGTTTAATTCCGAGCATTTTCATATTTATCTACCTTTTAAACCTTCTCTGGACTTCCACAAATAATTCCAGACCAAAATTAGCCAAATCAATCCAGCCGTTCTCGAGTTTTAGCGAGACTAACGAACAGCAATTCATTTTTATATATGTTTATTATTTGCAGACCTTCTACCAGCACATATTCAATGGTTGTTACGCCGTTCTACTCTTCATCGTTGTCGTGTTCTTCCTCATCTACGGAGTTGAAGTATTCTTTAAGGTGAGTTCGATCTAACTAAATGCTAGCTTTTATGGTCACGAACGCGTGGTTAGGGAATAGAGTCAGTGTTGTTTTCTGTAGGTTTTTTTATTGCCTTTGTAGGCAGACGAGCATACGGCCCACCTGAAGGTAAGTGGTCACCGTCGCTCATGGACGTCAGCAATGCCAGGGGCAGAGCCAAGCCGCTGCCTACCATAAAGTACTCTCCGCAAGCCTCGTTTGAAGAAGGACATGTCATAGCGCTCGGAAAACACCGTGGAGGGGAGTTCATTCCAAAGCCGAATGGTACGTGGCAAAAAAGATCTTTGGAAACACACTGTCGATGAACGCAGCGGTTCCAGGTAATATGGATGAACTCTGCTCCGATCGCGGGAGGTGCGATGATAAAAAGGAGATGAGGGGATCAAAGATTCCGGATCAAAGATTCAGTAGATTGGAGATAAGAAGTAACTTATGTTGCTCTCCTGAAATAAAATGTACACTTTAAAACATGTCAATCCGTTGTTTCGTTTCGACCTGAATGAAGGACAAACAAACAAATTTTTTTTTTTTATTGCTTAGATGGGTGGACTAGCTCACAGCCCACCTGGTGTTAAGTGGTTACTATAGCCCATAGACATTTACAACGTAAATGCGCCACCCACCTTGAGATATAAGTTCTAAGATCTCAGTATAGTTACAACGGCTGCCCCGCCCTTCAAACCGAAACGCATTACTGCTTCATGGCAGAAATAGGCAAGGCGGTGGTACCTACCCGTGCGGAAAATACTTTCACATTTATAATGTTAAGTATAGAAGTATGGATTCGCAGTAACTGTCACCATAGAGATGAGTTTTGTCACCTCAACTTAGTAAACAGTGTGCTTAGTGCGAGTATTATAACGTTCTCGATAGCGTAAAAGTTAACTCAAATTTGTATGCAGTTGGAACAGCGCCCCTAGCGGCAAACGTAGGCAAGCGTTCTACTTCCACACAAATTTGAGTTAACTTTTACGTTATCGAGAACGTTAAAAAACTCTCACTAAGCACACAAATACGAGTTGTCAGGTGAAGGGTGAACCAGTTGTTGTACTTTACAAAACAGACTAAGAACTCATGTTTCAAATTGGGTGGCGTCTTAACGTTGTTGATGTCTATGGGCTCCCGTAATCACTTAGATACCAGCTGGCTCGTCCACCAATACATGCAATAAAAAATGTCCCCGAATCCTGATCACGCAGGAGCAAGTCACCGTCGTCGCCCTAGACACGTCCTTACGGATCCATCAGATCCAATAACTCTTGCATTAGATACCTTCAGCTCTAGCACTAGGGGCAGGCTGAGGAACCCCGGTAACCGTACTCGTCGAACTCGACAAAGAGGTCGACGTGCAACCTAACCCATGCATCAGTCCGCTGAGTTTCTCGCCGGATCTTCTCAGCGGGTCGCGATTCCGATCCGGTAGTAGATTCATTCGCGAAGCAATTGCTCTTGAGTTTTTAGGTCTCCTTCGGAGGCGCTCGGGCAGTTGTTAGCAAATCCCACCCCTCCTTTGCTCGCCCACCTGTCCTAGTGAAGCTGGAAAGGCCTCCGGGCCACCAGTAATCTTTCAATTATAAAAAAAAAGTAATCACAGATCGATAATAAACTGCAATGCAACACAGACATTACGATTAGATTTTACATTAACCATAAATGTACCGTAAAAATATCGATTGATCGTTTGTATATAATATATCGAAATGCGTTACTGCTTTTTAGATTTCTTTATTCGCACCAGCTTTCGCGTAGTTAGTTCATTGTAATGCAAACGTTTATAATGTACTACAATTTGATGTTCCGATGATGCGACAACCTTTCCTGTGCGATAACACAATAGCGCGTTCTGTTATAACAATTAACGCCATTTCTGAATCGAATGATGTATTGTTTGATTTTTAATTGTGTATTGTTGACGGTAGGACGGTATCTGCGCTTGGATTTATGGGTAGTTGTCAAAAAATCACAAACACACACACAAACACGGAAGCACAAGGTCAAATGTTATTATTTTTCGATCTGACATTACAAATCTCGTTCTGATTAGACTATATACGATGGACTATATAGTCTAAGATCCAACTGAAAAATCGCTACATTTATTGAGTATGCAATCAAAGTCTTTTTTTAATGTATAGTTAGGTGAATATACTTTGGCCAAGGTGATTATAAAAATGTAACTGCTAGTTTTTATATTTTTAAATAAAATAATCTTAATTGACTTTTTACCATAAAATTGGATCCATGTACATATTTTTAAAATAAACTATAATCCAAACTGCATAGTTATTAATATATGCACAGAGCTGAATAAGTTACGGTCGGAGGTAATACTTGGTTAAATTTATACCTTCGTGACGGATATTCATTTACATTGACATGGATCATGTTGAGAATTTCTTGGAATCTTGAACTCTTTAGTAATACTTTTTGAGTCTACATTCATGTGCATGAGCCACACGTGAGCTCGTCTGGCCATTTGAGCAAAGAAAATAGAAACAAGAGGTAATTTAAAAAAAAAAGCTTTCGCCTTTAAAAAGTGCATCGCATTTTTAATACAAATAAGGTGCTGTTTCGTCTGACAAAGAAAACAATTAAAATGACTGTCTGCACGAGACTCTTTTGTTTTATCCCTCGGCAATAATAATAATAATTATAGCTCTTATCCAGCCGCATATTTACAGATAGCAAAACTTAAGTTAACGAGCTTAGTTAGGCAAATACCTCCCCCATTTCTTTCCACTCTACTCAGCTTAGAGCTTTCCTGGTCCATAATTTGCTTGCTATCGTCTTTATCTTGTCATGGTACTTACCAACAATAGACGGCATAGTTAGTCACGAATTAAACCGTTGTCAAAGCGCAGCATGTCGGGTCTTATAATTTATTTATATTTATGTAAAGTTATACAAAGAACCAGACGTGAATCCAAATATGTACGGGTCACAATTATCGAAGTGTGCGAGGATTGGCATTGCCTTAATACAAAGCAATTCCTTCTCATGTCTCAAGTTGTATAGCAAAAATGTCGATCTATCGCAAAGAAAACTGAGCGAGTCGTATCGTACCCATCCGGCGTCTGACGTACACTTGGGGACAGAAAACTCGGATAACTTGTGTAAACGTAAATTTCTAAATATCTCTTTTTTTTTCTTCTTTCTTTGTTCACTTTCTACTTATATATCATTTTCTACTTATATATCATTTTCATGGTGGAAACATGTTCGGTTATTGTTTTAGCTATTTTTTTTAATATTATAACATATTTGTATCGTACTGTTGGTTTCCCAAATAATTCTTTACTATCTATACTAATATTATAAAGCGGAAGAGTTTGTTTGTTTGAACGAGATAATCTCAGGAACGCTTGGTCCGATTTGAAAAATTATGTCAGTGTTAAATAGCCCATTTATTAAGGAAGGCTATAGGCTATATAACACCACGGTAAGACCAATACGAGTGGAGCACCAATAATGAATGTTTCAAAATACGGTTTAAATAGCTTCCTTAACATTCTATAATTCAAAAATATTTTCACTTTCTACGTAAATGAAGTGGGGGCGTAAAATTTAGCGTTATGCCAAAGTGACTTATTCCACGCGGACCGAGTCGCGGGCAAGAGCTTGTAAATAAATAATGTGCGAGCCAATAACGGCGCGGCCGTGCATTATTAAATTTCGTGCCCGATTAAAACCGATCGCGGGGTTATATGTTTTTCGAACAATAAAACGTAAATCTCATTTTCTGTTATCAAACACCGCGGCATTGTGTGCGAGCGATAAGCCTTTGCTGTGTGCTGTAACCGATTGTCTGGACTATCGTGGTGCTCTGAGTATCGTATATCACCAATAGTAGGGGTTTTTGCAGTGCAGAAACTAGTTTACGATTTAAATTCGCGTTTAATAATCTCGGACGTGTCGAACTATCGGTCAACTACCGTCTTATTTATTTTTTAACACATTCACTGCCATGTAGGTCGCCGGTGTCCTACGCGGCGCACTGAAGTAATTAAGTCGATTTCGGTTACTAAGCTTGCCTGGATTGCCTCACCTCACCTTATTTTGTTTGTTAATGTACGTTTTAGTCTTTTAGGTCTGTTAGAAATAGATTCATTGTCAGTATCGTTCGGATTCGTCTTTCCTAAAGTCTACTAGATATTCCGGCGCCTTAGTAAGAAGAACAAAGAGAGAAATCGACATAGTTACTTCAGTGCGCCGCGTAGGGCACCGGTGACCTACATGGCAGTCAACGTGTTAAATACAAACCATTTGTTCCCAATTTAAAGTCCTGAGTTCTGGTGTGTTGTTATATGATTTGTATGAGATAACTTCGATCTTCAGCTCCGCGGTGAGTTCCTGAAGGAGACCAAAGTATGCACCATAATATCTCCGCGTCCCGGAACTTCAGCGGACGGAGATGAAGCCCAGGATACGCTTGTCACTAAACAGGTATGTTGAGAACTCGACCATAATCGACCATGATAGAGCACATTGTGAACTAACACGGATAGGTACTTTAGCTACAAGTACAACTTCCTGCCTATTACGATTCTGGTTCGTAGAGTGTGACAGCCACAACTATCACATGTCTATGGGCTTCGTTAGCCGCTTCATACCAAGTTAAAGGAAATATGTATAGGCAGAATGGCAATACATATATCCATGTGGGGTTTTCTATTCAGGTTGGGCCAGTGAAACGGTTGATGACTTTTTTTTATTGCTTAGATGTGTGGACGAGCTCACAGCTCACCTGGTGGTAAGAGTTTACTGGAGCCCATTGACATCTACAACGTAAATGCGCCACCCACCTTGAGATATAAGTTCAAGTAAGGTCTCAGTATATAGTTACAACGGCTGCCCCACCCTTCAAACTGAAACGCATTACTGCTTCACGGCAGAAATAGGCAGTGTGGTGGTACCTACCCGTGCGGACTCACAAGAGGTCCTACCACCAGTAATTACGCAAATTATAATTTTGCGGGTTTGATTTTTACTACACGATATTATTCCTTCACCGTGGAAGTCAATCGTGAAGATTTCTTAAGTACGTATTTCATTAGAAAAATTGGTACCCGCCTGCGGGATTCGAACACCGGTGCATCGCTAGATACAAATACACCGGACGTCTTATCCTTTAGGCCACGACGACTTCGAGTCCAATGAACAGGTCCAAGTTACCATCGATACGATCCTTTTGCTTTCTTCCAAAGGGAATTCAAACGGATTTGCTGGACGGAGACGGAACGGTGGACCCTCGGTCCGTGGACCTCTCGCAGCTGCACCAGTCGCGCGTGGGCCTGATCAGCCTCGCGCTGATGCTCATACTGATCGTCTGCTTCCTGGCTTCTGAAACCCTAAGCGAATTCTGGAAGACTAAGTCAGTATACATTTTTAATACGCCTTTATTAGCTTCAGACATATGTATGTTAGTATGTAACGGAATATTTGAACATGATTTTGACCCCCTTGATAAACGTCCGATTAACTCGAAATTTGATATACTTATTAAGGACCGATGACAATTCAATATAAAAAAAAATATATAGAAAAAATTGAAATTCTACTAAACAATGAAAAATAAATAATAGTTTAAAAAAACTAACAAAATACGTTTTTATAGAAAATCCAACTAAAAAAATTAAAATAATTTTTAATCAATTTGAATTAAAAATAGTGTAAGCAAAAATGATTTTATTGTAAAAAAAAGCGTGGGTTGCTTTTCAGGATATTATCAAAATAACCCTTGTACTCACATCTGTCATAAAATACTTATAACTATTGATACCATGCACCCCACGCTTTTTTTTACTGGAGCCCATAGACATCCACAACGTAAATACGCCACCCACCTTGAGATAAAGTTCTAAGAGTCTCAAGTATAGTTACAACGGCTGCTCCACCCTTCAAACCGAAACGCATTACTGCTTCACGGCAGAAATAGGCAGGCTGGTGGTACCCACCCGCGCGGACTCACAAGAGGTCCTACCACCAGTAAGTACGTATTTCGGGTATCAGGGTGCCGGTGGTGTCCCGCAACTGGCACGACCTGGTGTTCCGGCTCGCCGAGATCGGGGTCGCAGTATGGTTCCCGTGCGCGCTGTGGAACTCGATGGCGCCCGAGCGGCTCTGGCTCCTGAACCCGCGCCGGCTGCTCGCCAGGCAACTGGACGACGCCAAGCTCGCCGACCTGCTCGCGCAGCACCACCACGATGCCAAGGTACCGGCAACGTGACCTTCCATGTATTGTTACACGCTTTATATTAGCTTCACTTGTATGTATGTTTGTAACGGAATCCTTTAGATTTTGACCCACTTTAAACGGCCAAATTTCATTCGAACTTTTTAGATTTATCGAGGACCGATGACGATTCTATATTTAAAAAAAAATTTAAAAAGAAAAATGAAAAAAAAATTGAAAAATAAATAATAGTTTAAAAAAACTAAAAAACACGCTTTGTAGGCAGACGAGCATACATACGGCCCATCCTGATGGTGAGTGGTTACCGTTACTCATTGACGTCAGTAATGCCAGGGGCAATAGTCGCTGCCTACCGTCTAAAATTTTAATTCCTTAATCATGAGAAAAAATAGAGTATATTGCGTTGTCCGGACTCCATTGTATTCCATAGTTGTCTGTGTGTCGTCCATTAGTTCTGTGTCCTTAGTGCGAGTTTTTTAACGTTCTCGATAGCGTAAAAGTTAACTCATATTTGTATGCAGTTGGAACAGCGCCCCTAGCGGCAAACGTAGCCAAACGCTACGTTAACTACGTTAACTTTTACACTATCGAGAGCGTTATAAAACTCGCATTTAGCACTCAGGTCTATGCATGTCTCCAGCGACCTTGACGTAAAAGGATATCCTAGGTAGGTCCTTAATCTGGAATTGGTCGAAATTAAAAAAAAAAAAATTGCCTAATTATTTTCTATTGCACAGATATTTAAATATATTACGTATTTTATAAGCTTTATGTGTGACATAAATAACAATTAAATATTATAAAATTGTAATTATGTTATGTTTGTGTATTGCGTGTGTAAAGATGTCGGTTATAATTCTTATATTATTTGATTTGGTTAATGTTTTTTTTTTTATTTGTTAGATTGGTCAAGTTTTGTTTGGCTCTCAAGTCATTGATTGCCAACCTGAAAAAAAAAAAATCCATGAACGAAAGCAATTTGATGTTTTTTCTCTGTGAAATGTATAAATTCAATTATCCATGTCTTTAAGGATGTCTATGGATTTAAGATTACAATGCGGTATCCCTATACAAGGTTTCGTATGAAGGCGGCGATGTTTTAAACTCCCACAAAATAGGAGTGGGTGATATAAATCGTATATAGATTCAATATCTATATATCGCAGCAATATCGTTGAATCCGATATCGCCCCGCACGAAATCTATATATCGATATCAGCCGATACACGATATTGCTCGATGTGATGCGCATCGCCATATCGGACCGATTCGTGAATCGAAATCTATATTTCGATATCAGCCGATACACGATATTGCTCGATNAAAAAAAAAAAAAAAAAAAAGATATAAGTTCAAGTAAGGTCTCAGTATATAGTTACAACGGCTGCCCCACCCTTCAAACCGAAACGCATTACTGCTTCACGGCAGAAATAGGCAGTGTGGTGGTACCTACTGGTGCGCACTCACAAGAGGTCCTTCCTACCACCAGTAATTACACAAATTATAATTTTGCGGGTTTGATTTTTATTACACGATCTTATTCCTTCACCGTGGAAGTCAATCGTGAAGATTTCTTAAGTACGTATTTCATTAGAAAAATTGGTACCCGCCTGCGGGATTCGAACACCGGTGCATCGCTCGATACAAATACACCGGACGTCTTATCCTCTAGGCCACGACGATTTCAAGTCCAATGAACAGTCCAAGTTACCATCAATACGATCCTGTTGCTTTCTTCCGAAGGGAATTCAAACGGATTTGCTGGACGGAGACGGAACGGTGGACCCTCGGTCCGTGGACCTCTCGCAGCTGCACCAGTCGCGCGTGGGCCTGATCAGCCTCGCGCTGATGCTCATACTGATCGTCTGTTTCCTGGCTTCTGAAACCCTAAGCGAATTCTGGAAGACTAAGTCAGTATACATTTTTAATACGCTTTTATTAGCTTCAGACGTATGTATGTTAGTGTGTAACGGAATCTTTGCACATGATTTTGACCCCCTTTTAAAATGTCGGATTAACTCGAAATTTGGTATACTTATTAAGGATGACAATTCAATATTTAAGAAAAATATATGGAAAAAATTGAAGTTCAACTAAAAAATGAAAAATAAATAGTTTTAAATAGAATTAAATTTTAATAAATTTGAATTAAAAATAGTGTAAGAAAAAATGATTTTATTGTAAAAAAAAACCTGGTGTTAAGTGGTTACTGGAGCCCATAGACATCCACAACGTAAATGCGCCACCCACCTTGAGATAAAGTTCTAAGAGTCTCAAGTATAGTTACAACGGCTGCTACACCCTTCAAACCGAAACGCATTACTGCTTCACGGCAGAAATAGGCAGGCTGGTGGTACCCACCCGCGCGGACTCACAAGAGGTCCTACCACCAGTAAGTACGTATTTCGGGTATCAGGGTGCCGGTGGTGTCCCGCAACTGGCACGACCTGGTGTTCCGGCTCGCCGAGATCGGGGTCGCAGTATGGTTCCCGTGTGCGCTGTGGAACTCGATGGCGCCCGAGCGGCTCTGGCTCCTGAACCCGCGCCGGCTGCTCGCCAGGCAACTGGACGACGCCAAGCTCGCCGACCTGCTCGCGCAGCACCACCACGATGCCAAGGTACGCGGCAACGTGACCCTTCACTGTATTGTTACACGCTCTATATTAGCTTCACTTGTATGTATGTATGTTTGTAACGGAATCCTTTAGATTTTGACCCACTTTAAACGGCCAGATTTCATTCCAACTTTGTTGATTTATCGAGGACCGATGATAATTCTATATGAAAAAAATAATTGAAAAAAAAAAATTGAAAAATAAATAATAGTTTAAAAAAACTAAAAAACACGCTTTATATAAAATTCAACTAAAAAATAGAAAATAAATTTTAATAAATTTAAATTGCACGCCACGCTTTTTTTAAATAAAAAGTATTTTTTTTACAATATTTTCAATTTAAATTGATACAAAGTTATTTTCTATTTTTTAATTGAATTTTATATAAAGCGTATTTTTTGTTTTTTTTAAACTATTATTTATTTGCTTTTGTAGGCAGACGAGCATACGGCCCAACCTGATGGTGAGTGGTTACCGTTACTCATTGACGTCAGTAATGCCAGGGGCAGAACCAAGCCGTTGCCTTACGTCTAGTTCAAATTTCTCAATCATGAAAAAAATGAGTGAATCGCGTTTTACGGGTTCCATTGCGTTTGGTATTCGTTGTCTGCGTGTCGTCCATTTGTTCTGTGTGCTTAGTGCGAGCTTTTTAACGTTCTCGATAGCGTAAAAGTTAACTCATATTTGTATGCAGTTGAAACAGCGCCCCTAGCGGCAAACGTAGGCAAACGCTACGTTAACTTTTACGCTATCGAGAGCGTTAGAAAACTCGTATTAAGCACACAGGTCTATGCGTATCTCCAGCGACCTTGACGTAAAAGGATATCCTAGGTAGGGGCTTAATCTGGAACTGATCAAAATTAAATATTTTTTTATTAATTATTCTCTATTGCACACATGTTTAAATATATTACGTATTTTATAAGCTTTGGGTGTGACATAAATAACGATTAATACGAGTATAAAATCGTGATGATCCTTAGTTTGTTATATTTCGTGTGTAAATATGTCGGTTTAATTGTTTTTTGATTTGTTGGATTGGGAAAGTTTTGTTGGGTCTTTGATTGCTAAGATGATACCTGAAAAAAAAAAAAAACCATGAATGAGAGCAATGTGATATGAATGATTGAGTTTTTAATTCAGTTATTCCTGTCCTTAAGGACGTCTATGGATTTAAGATTACAATGCGGTATCCGTATACAAAGTTTCGTATGAAGGCGGCGATGTTTAAACTCTCACAAAATACAGCTGTTATCATCGAAGACAGTATAATGCTGTCCATTGCGTGTTTATACTCTACGTGTGGTATAATCTGTATCGTGTTGCGTTTTTTTTCCGGCAAAGGGTTATTATTCTGTTTGTACTCTACGTGTGGTATAATCTGTATTGTGTTGCGTTTTTTTCGGCAAAGGGTTGTTGTCGAGTGCTCTTGTTTGTCGATTCGTTTGTTTATGTGTTGTCCATCTTGCATATATATATTTTGATCATCATTAATTAATTTCCTCATTGTTTCAAATATCTCTTCCATCAACTAATATTTCCCAATCAAAGCTAGCTTCCTTCTCGTCCCACTAACATTTTCCGTTTCTAACATCACCCCCAATCGATTCCCAGACGTTGGCCGACCTCAGCCAACTGGGCTGGCGCCAGAAAGCATGGTACTTTCTCGAGTTGGCCAAATATTGGATCGTTTGGAGGTTCGCTCTTACTGTCTTTTTCAAACCTCTTCCTTTGCCTGTAAACGGGAAAGAGACACAAAACTCGGACGCTGCTAATGCGGTTGGCTCGAACACAAATTCGGTGAGTTTCGTTGTCGGGTGCGTGTCGTTATAAATAAATGTTGTATTTGTTTGAATGTATGAAATTGTTCCTTATGATTCGTTGCTATGGGGCCTTAGGTGTTCTGTTCAAAATCTACGAACCGAATAAAATCTTGCTTTGTTGATTTAAATCAGTGGTTCCCAAACTAATTTTTTTACTACCCACTTTAAGAATAAGTTATTTTTTAGCACCCCCATTTTATCACCTACTCAAAGACCACTATAGCGAGAGCTCAGTCGGTATCTAAGAGTCCTCCCAGATAAAATTACAAATCGCCTGCCAAGCTTCTACACAGTGCCCCCAATTTTTGTTTCTGGTTCTCTTACCGCCCCCCTTTAGGCCTGCAGCGCTCACAAGGGGGCGTTATCGCCCACTTTGGGAAAGGCTGATTGTTGAGTCTATTTCTTAGAGGTATCTTGAGGTGGCCAAGAAAATGAATAAATGCGTTTACTTCTTCAAATACTCATTATATTATTTTTAATTATTTTACAAAATAGAATTGACATGCGCGTCCATCTTTTTTCTTCGTGTAATAATTTTATTTGTTAAATTTTGATAATTGATGCCACTGTTGCGTTTCCTGATTTGTGATTGGTTCGTGCGATATGACGTCATCGTTGGCCAATCACAGCCATCAATGTAAAACGTCCGGATAAAAGCCTTCCAAGTTCAATCGGGCGTCGTTTCGCTGTCAATGGTACGGTCAGTGGATCATTCATTGGTGTCTTTGGGGTTCCGCAGAACGTGGAGAGGGACTCGCTCGTGGACAGCGTCGGGTCGAGCCGCGACTGCTGGATCTGCTACGACAGCTCCCGGGCGGAACCCCTCATCAGGCCGTGTCGCTGCACCGGCGACGTGTCCGCCGTGCATCATGACTGCCTGAGCAGGTGGCTCGTCGAGGTCGGTATCGAACGTTTGACTCGGGCCAAAAATATGTATTACAAATGAATATGCAATTTCGAAAAGGGCACATCTCTGAAAATGTAAAATGTTCAGGAAATGAAAGAAAATTGATTATTTTCTAAAGCAGTGTAAAATTTAAAATATTAACTTTTGAGATATATTTTAGTGTTAATTAGCAATTGAAAATTACTGGAATTATTATAAAATGGGTGCAGTAGGTAAGCCTCAAAACTACATGTATATGAAAAAACGTATTTGACAAAATATGCGACATGTGCCCTTTTCGAAATTGCATATTCAAATGTATTTACGGTTATTTTTAATACGCTCTTATTAGCTTCAGACGTATGTATGTTTGTATGTAACGGAATCTTTGAACATGATTTTGACCCCCTTCAAAACGTCGGATTAACTCGAAATTTGGTATACTTAATAAGGACCGATGAATGATGAATTCAATATTAAGAAAATATATATTGAAAAAATTGGAATTCAACTAAAAATGAAAAATAAATAATATGTAGTTTAAAAAAAATTCACAAAATACGCTTTTATAGAAAATCCAACTAAAAAATAGAAAATAAATTTTAATAAATTTGAATTAAAAATAGTGTAAGAAAAAATGATTTTACTGTAAAAAAAGCGTGGCGTGCATGGTATCAGTAGTTATAAATATTTTATGAACAGATATGAGTAGAAGGGTTATTTTGATAATATTCTGTAAAGTACCCCACGCGTTTTTTACAATAAAATCATTTTTTCTTACACTATTTTTAATTCAAATTTATTAAAAATTATTTTCAATTTGTTAGTTGCATTTTCTATAAAAGCGTATTTTGTTAGTTTTTTTAAATTATTAATTTATTGTTGGTAGACAACAAAAAAAACCATTGCAGTTTTACTTAAAGAGCGCTTTGTACAATGACGTCCATGTTTTAGAATGCGATGGGAAGGGGACAGAACATCCCGTCTGGATTGCAAGCAATTATCGCCTCTATAAAAATTTATTAAAACAATCATTTACTAAACCTGGTTAAATGCAATTTCATTATGTGTGACGTCATTTGGGGTTAAATATAGCTGGGCGCTGTCGAATCCGTGCGTTTTCCTCTTGAAGTGTTCAGTTAGTAAATCTGTGACGTCATCTCCCCAGAGTGCCGCCTCGCCTGACGGCTTGAAGTGCAAAGTCTGCAACACTCCCTACATCGTCCAGGAGACCAATCGGTACGTATAATAATGTCATTCTGGATTATTTAAATTTGTATTTGTATAAATTCGATTTCAAATTTATATTATGATAATTTTTGTTTTTTATAACAACCATATTTGTTTATTTATTGCTTAGATGGGTAGACGAGCTCACAGCCCACCTGATATGAAGTGGTTATCGGAGCCTATAGACATCTACAACGCAAATTCCACCACCCATCTTGAGATGTAGTTCTAAGGTCTCAGTTCTTACAGTACAACGGCTGCCCCGCCCTTCAAACCGAAACGCATTTCTGTTTCACGGCAGAAATAGGCAGGGCGGTGGTACCTACCCATGCGGACTCACAAGACGTCCTACCACCAGTAAATATGTATTTATTGTTCTCTGTGTTATAAGTACCAGAGACTGTCAAACATAGTTTATATACGCTTAAATTTAAACAAATATATATAGATAATAAATACAAAGAGAAAGAATAAACAAACCTGTTTATTACACGAATGCTTGCCCGACGTGTGAATCCATTACACCACCAAGTCAATCAACCTTAAAAACTAGATCAGAGATATTAAGTTCCACTTACTTGCGTAGAGTGGAGTGGGAGCGCGGGTTCACGTGGTCGCACTGGGCGGGCACCGCGGCCGCCGTCACCGCGCTCACCGGTGCCGCGGCCGGCGCCTGGGCCCTCGCGCAGCTCTACCCCTCCTCCCTCGTGCGCGTGCTCGCTGCCGGCGCCGCGCTGCTCGTCTGCTACGTCGCGCTCAGGTACGCACGCGCGCACGCACACGCACTCACGCACGCACGCACGCACGCACGCACACACACACACACGCACACACGCACGCACACGCACACACGCACGCACATGCGCACACATACGCACGCACGCACACCTACGCACGCACCTACACACACACGCACACACGCGCGCATACGCACACGTGCACACATACGCACGCACACGCGCACGCACGCTAATATTTTAAGTTTAAATTAAAAAATAAATACAAATTAATAGCATGATTGCGTGAAAGACATTATGTGTAAGAGGGGAGTTAGCGAAGAAATGGTATATTATAGAGGAGTATGGAAGGAGAAAACATGTTGCTCCGACTCTAGGTGACTGGGAGAAGGGCAGGAGAATGATGAGTGGAAATAATCCTAATTGTACCTGTATGTGTTAAATTGCAGATTCCTGGGCACGAACACGGTGTCGGCGTACCACCGGGCCCGCGTCTACGGCCTAAAGATCCTGACGGAGCCCTTCGCCGACGTCCAGGACTCTGAGCAGGGTCAGCTGTCGACCATCAGCAGGACGGTGACCGTCGAGATCGCACCGAAGGACGTCCTCGACCAAGCGCTCAAGGGCGAAGCGAAATAGCACGAGAAAATAACGAACTGCGATTTTTAAATAGCGCGCTATATAACGTTGTCCGTCGCAAATAACGTAGCAGCTAAGTTTTGGCAGTGAAATGAAACAGTGGTGATGTGACGTGAAAAAAAAAACGAAAAAAAAAAACCGAGGTAGTGTGTGGAAGTTAACTTATGAAACTTTTAATGGACGCCACAGAGAATGTGATGAAAATAAAACCAGTACAAACGTGATGAATATGAGGAAGCATACTGTAAGTTCAGTGCATATCGTTACATAGTGCATACTGTAAGCAGTGACAATGATTGTGGGTTGTTAAAAAAAAAAGCAAAAAAAAAAAACGAACAATTAGTGATGCTATAATAAATTAAGCATGCTATTTAGCAGCTAGAGGGTGCACTACATATGAGTCGTCTATTATCAAAGATGGCAATCTGTGCATTTGGACAAAAAAATGTTATTGATATGTCAATACAGATTGATTGGAATATAATCGTCTCCTTCAAAGAATACGGTTCAAAACCTGCATTAAATAAAGGTTAATAGTTAACATGTTATTTATCTAAGATGTCGTTCAGAAGAGTTTTGTGACTGTCAATGGAATACAAAGTCAATAATTCGTTTTTCTGATTTACCAATAATTTTCCAAAAGTCACATTGCCGGCTTTGATAATAGTCAACTCATATAATAGTTGTATAGTGCGATAGGAATTTGTTACGTAAATAGATTGTACCGTTTGAGTATTGAGCTTTTTTGTTTTTGTTAATACGTATTTAGTACAAAGACGGTGACCGTCACGCTTCGATTGTCAACCAACGGTGATCGTTTACGTATTTTAGAATAAATATATATATATATAAAAATATATTTTTTTTTAAATTAAATGTTCGAACTGAAACTAATTGTAGTTAAAAATTGTTAAAATTTTAAATATTGTATGTAATACACCTACCTACCTATAAAAATTATAAAAAAATGACTTAAATATTTTAGTTTTTTTTTTGTTTAATTTTTTTTTTTACGTAATTGGTGTACCTATTGTTATATACGACTGGTTTTTTAATGAGTTCTTGATATTTATGAGCTCTTGTTAGTGGCAAGTGCGCGGATAAAAAGTACCGGTTAATAAAATACACTGTTGATAGAAGCGAAGGCTTAAAAGAATTATTATTAAAGTAAATTGTATGGTTTTTTTTATTGCTTAAATGGGTGGACGAGCTCACAGCCCACCTGGTGTTAAGTGGTTACTGGTGCCCATAGACATGTACAACGTAAATGCGACACCCATCTTGAGATAGAAGTTCTAAGGTCTCAGTATAGTTACAAACGGCTGCCCCACCCTTCAGACCGAAACGCATTACTGCTTCACGGCAGAAGTAGGCAGGGTGGTGGTACCTACCCGCGCGGACTCACAAGAGGTCCTACCCCCAGTAAACACGCACACGAGCGAGGGCGTTCACCCCGTACATCAGCTGCATTTAAATGTGCCACATGAAAAAACAATAGAAAAATATCATAATACGTAAATATGTTGTGAAATTGCTTTCAAAGCGCATATCGACCCTTGAAAGGCAAAAGTGACTAAGCGACAATAACTGATTTGTACATAAATGATAGGCAATAATCATATTCGATGCGCAAAAAAAATATATTTGTAGGTCTATTAAAATCATTTCAATCCTACAACTAGATTCGTTAAAATAGATTTTTTTTCAGGTATTTCAACTTTAAATTAGTCTACTGTAAAATTCACGCATAGTCGCTTAGTCACGTTTGCTTTTCAAGCATCGATATGTATTATTCGTTGTATACAAAAAATTCTGTGCCAAAGAACGCTTATAATAAAATCGTCCTGTACTTTGATTGAATTTAAAATAATTACGTAATCGTCAATTGTAATTAATAAATTTCAATTCTAAAAGTAATAATTAAGATTGAACTATGTATTCATGTAGAAAAGTTTTTAAACGTATAGTGCACTTTTTGTCTCTCGACTTGTGTTTATCGATTTAATGGAGCTTAATAAGCTTTTTTATATGAGTACTTCAAATTTATTAGCGTTCGATAACAACGAACATGGCAACTTCTTATTTTTTTTCAGTATGGCAATTGGCTTTTTACGGCGCCATTGTTGCCAGTGATGACTTCAAACAAAATATTCAATAATTTATATACGTGAAAGGAGTAGAGTGTAATGAAGTCTATTAACTTGTTTTTTTCCATTGGAATGAAATTGGGAGAATATTGTTATGCGCTAAGGTTCGGGATAAATAAAATTCCACCAAAGTACAACTAAAAACTGTATTCAATACTTAGAACACTTAAAACACTTTACAAACCCTTTAAAATTCCGCTTCGCTTCAGGTGATCCGTTCGCTGTTTCGCTTCGAGTAGTTCCGATTACTAACTGACTGCGTGCCATCTCTGCAACGTTTTATAGCCGATACCTCATCCCTAGAATTATCGAGAATATTCAACACATTTCGAGTATTGTTTCCGCTATCTAACAATAGATGGCGTTGTACTTCTCGAGCATTCTAGGTGCTACTAGACTCTTCAATATTCGTTCGACTATTTGGCGATAGATGGCGTTATTCACATCGGCGTAACAATACGATAAGTCACGTTCAAATACTTTTTAACGTTCCAACTATTGTTCTCTTTGACTGATGCCAAACTGTCAATGAGAAACGAAATAAGTAAATATTATTTTGTACAGGTGTAGATGCTTAAAAGGATAATTTACGATAGAAAATCATGTGGCATAATGATAAATAAAATATAAATAATAAGAAACAGTCGCTTGCGCATGGTGACGCGTCGCCACAACGTACAAACTACTATATATAAATTTTATATATCTATACACTAACACGGCATGCCTCGCCACGCCAGCAATCGGTTTTAAGTGCGGCCATAGATGTGTGAAATCAACAAAAGAATTCAAAACAACATCACTATGTACTCCCGTTCCCGCCAACGGATCCACAGATAAAACAAATAAAATTTTTAAAAGAGTTCCAATCCGATCAGCTATTCGAACATTGAGTTTAGTTTTCGATCGATTTTCACCATCGTCCACGCATTTAAGCAATAAAAAAAGAAGAAAAGACTAATAATCTATTCACTACATACGTCGCGCCTGATTTCAATATCCCCTTTTGATATTTTTAATAATAGGTAATTCATAAACGAGCAACGCCTGTCACTATGCTTGTCTCGCTATGTTTACGGATAAAATTTACATAATTTAGTTTCATTGTAAAACTTATGCTCATTAGAACACTTGATCACTATATTGTTTAAAATACGATCGATACGCCGATTTAGGGCGCGACCCATTACGTTTGTGGTCATCATCACGTCGGGGTCACCAGTTGTATGAATATACGACGAAGGGAAGATCTTCCACCGAGCGGGTGATATTGCTCGGTAGACTGACGGTCCGAATGTTGTTGTTCGGAACTTGTATATATGCGCTTTATCTTGAAAATGTCGTAAGCGAGATTCAGGCATCTCTCAATTATCTTGCGTTGTAAGATGGCTACCCGCCACACGTTGGTCCGACCAGATCTCCATACAAAGGAGTTTGACACAAAGTGGGCCAACTTTGTGTCAAAACTATTTGTACTTGAAAAACTATGCTTTATTTTTTCACGTTGTTTAGTTTATGTATCAACACTTCTTTCACCCTAGCATTGTTTTACAAAAAGTAATTACTTATTTGATAACATCCCAAAACTGAGTGCCATAGTTTTTAAATTCGCCAATAGGCAAACGGCTTAGCCCATAAAGCCTTATAGTAAACCTTTAAGCTGCCAAACAAAAGAGTTGTCTGTGACTTGAACAACAAATAATAAAAAAATAGCTAATGGTTATAATTCACAGACTTTTTAGTTTATTTTTGTTCAATTAAATATTTATATATTGTAATAATAATTATTACTTAAAACCATGAATTATTTAATATTTTTAGATATTATTGATTCCATTAGTAAAAATCTATCAATGGCTTACCATTATTCTATTCTTATTATATATGATCAGAGAGTTTTGGCAGCAACCCGAGTGAAGCGTCACTTGAAGTTTTATTTTAATGTTTTTTTCATAGTTTATTGTGATGTATAATATATCAATTGGGTGTTGTTTTGTGTATTAAACGTCATTGGACATGGCATGGAGGCATTGGAATAAGACTGTGGCTAACATAGCAGTGACTGTTTTTTTTTCAAGATAAAAGGTCTGCGGAAACTCACGCTCAGTCAATATGCTATTCGTCGAGTTGACGTCAAAACTCCCAAAAAGCAATAAAAAGAGATACACCGGCTTTTTATTGACATGAAAATAATATTACTACGACAGACTAGGCTGTATAGGCTACGCTCTTTGCCTGCCGATTGGCGAATTTAAAAACAACGACAACAATATCGTTGCCGGCTTCCGGATTTTCATTTCCGAAAGAAGGGTCAATGAAGTCCATTCTCAGAAACCACTTTCATTTTATTATTATTATGAAGATATAATAATAATAAAATGTAAATAAGGGCTTTTTTCTAGCAAAACTAACCACAATTAACTTATTTAACAATGTAACTAATTATGAGAGCGATTATTGATTTCGACGAAAACAATTAACAACTTAATTTTAGCTGCAGAAAAAAGAGATTTCTCATAAACCTGGGTGAGAATATAGAAATCGTTTTCTGAATATGAAACGATATTTCTTTGTCTATCAAATTAAGTTAAAACCATCATGACACGACAACTTTTTTAGGGGCTTAAACGCCCTAAGAAAATGGGCATTGTCCTTTGAGTTACTTTTACACTATCGAGAACATTAAAAAACTCGCACTAAGCACACCCGTAACAGCGCCCCTAGCGGCAAACGTAGGAAAACGTTCCAACTCCATACAAATTTGAGTTACTTTTACGCTATCGAGTACGTTAAAAAACTCGCACTAAGCACAGATAACAGACAGAGAAAAATCGTGCCAGAGAAAGTGACGCAAATGGGTGGTCACGACCCCCAGAATTGAGGAATACGACGCGAAAAATAATAATAAACACATGATGTACATACAAACTGTTGAGTAGAGTAAATTAAGTCACTTGCCCTTTTAACAATTGAATATGCAATTTCGAAAAGGGCACATGTCGCATATTTTGTCAAATACGTTTTTTCATATACATGTAGTTTTGAGGCTTACCTACACCCATTTTATGATGATTCCAGTAATTTTCAATTGCTAATTAACACTAAAATTAATCTCAAAAGTGAATATATTCAATTGAAATCGTCCTCTTACCCACACGAGCCAAACGATCTCTCCCTTTCTGCGG